CCCTTCATGGGAAATAAATACAGTAAAAATATGAATATACATGTGAACAAATGGAGGCTTAGTTTTCCCTGATGCTCCTGAAAGCAGCATTTCCTGCCGTTAGGGCCACAGCAGAACCAATTCTACATACTAATGACTCTCGATTAATGCTGAGAATTTATCAGCAACAAGAAAAAGTAAAGAAATCAGAAGGAAGCCTTTAACCGGATCAAAGTGTCGGTTTGACAGACATCAGAGCAAAAACAAAGCAGGAGCAGCTTGGGAAAAAAGGCCGAGTTCCTCCTAATTTAGAGCAAATCCTTCGACTCGCTTTGCTTTAAACGTTGCTTTTTGTAGTGAATGGATTCTTAACAGAACAGCGATCCGCATCCTGACATGTTCCCATCTAAACAGAACTAAGCGTCAGTCACTGACCTGCTGGGGAAATATTTGTTGCTATTGAGAAGGCAGGCAGCTCCGTCCAGCGTGTGCCTGGTGTAATCAATGGCGGGGCACTGTGATGGCGGCAAAACACAACATCCATCAATGAAAACAAGCTTTCCAGCAATGAAGCAGCGCTTTATGACTCGCTGACGGAGCGCACCTCTTTGGGCGTCTTGTGGGCGGCGCATAGGAAGATCCACTGCTCTGTGGCTGTCATCTGAGTGCAGGTGTCAGGATGGCACTCGCTCTGCAGGCGGAGAGAAGGAAACAAACGCTTCATCATTTCTTTAGTCGGTGATTACTGTCCCACTGGAGAGAGATTGCTTCTATTCATGAATTAAATACAATCAGACTGAGTAAAGGTGAAGTAAAGAAGCAGAACGTTTATTCCAACCATTTCAAAGAGCCTAAAGCAGGGGGTCTGCAAACTGCGGCTCTTTGGACTCTCTACAGCGACTCTTAATACGGACTAAAATGTATATAAAGAGCTAAATAATGTATGACCAAATAAATACCCTTCTTAAAAGCTTTAGGGGTTTTTATAAGATTGAAAAGAAGGACATTAAAAGAACCAGAAATAAATTTTGTTTAGAGCCATTTTCCTTATAATTAGCTTTGATTTTATGTGTTTTAATATTATTTTAAAAGCTAAAAATGCATACATAGTTGCTTGTTTAAGATGGCAACTAAAACTTTGTGGCTCTATCAGCGTTTACTTGCTCAGACTCAGGGCAGAATGGCTCTTTGGACATGAACGGTTGCGCACCCCTAGCCTAAAGGAAACATGAATCACCTTGGAGAGGAAATAACCCAACAGGTATGCGACCCGCAGCTTTAAGGACAGAAAAACTCACCTGCAGCTTAACAGCAAGTCCATTGAGCTCCAGACAGAACTGCCTGTGAGAGAATCAGAGCAGAACACAGAAGGAGAGATGATCAGTCTTTGGCCGTTCTGCTTCAGAGCGTCTCCTGAAACCGGAACCAAACCCGTCTGCTCCCGCTTCCAGGTCCTGCTGCTTGTAGCTAGCGACCGCTTAGCGCGGCTAACCACATGCATCATGGCTCAGGTCAAGAGTAAAGAATATGGATGACAATCAGAGGGTTAAACATGGACCAGCAGTGAACCCAGTAAGAACCAGTTTCAACCAGATAATCAGCAAAGAAAATCTGAGGTTTAATAAGCAGACGCTCAGAGACTGAGCAGGTTAGCATGGAGCCCATCCAGCTTTATGCTGGAAGACAGAAACATTCCCGTTTCTTTTTAACAATTATTACCACTATTAGCCGCACCAGGACTGTGTTTCACCTACGGCTGCATCTAACGATTATTTTGCAAATTGATTCATCTGTTGATTATTTTCTCGACTAATAATCAGATCGGCACAGGTTCCAAGAAGAAGATTTTTTGCTAAATTATACGAGATGATACTAAAACTTTTCCACTTCAGTTCTGGATAGAGGATGTAGACAGAACAAAATTATTTTATCTTAAATGCAAAATTTTTACTTTTTTATAATGTTGGTGTAATTCCTGGTCTAAGTGTGCGGCTCTATCAGATAAAGGAATGTTTTAGTGTCTCGATACTCAGGTTAACCATTGATCACTGAATTAGTTGACGATTAATTTAATAATCAAATAATCAGATTAATTGTTTCAGTCCTAGTTTCATTCCTGAAACTTGACATTATTCTGGTTGTATTACAACGTAATTTGATAATATTATGACTTTATTTTCAGAATTTAAAGCAGCATATCTCTCAGTATGATTTTACATTGAAGTCAACAGAAATTATGCATCCGTCTATATTTACTAATCTTTATTGGAAAGAAGCTGCATCTCTCCACTGAATAAAAAAATCCTATTTTGCATTTTTTTCCAGGTCTGAAATCTTCTTGATTTCATTCATTATGATGAAATAACTTCTAAACATGTTTTCTTTTTTTTTTGTCCATCTTAAAACCAAAAAACAAATGAAAAAAGTGAACAATCATCAAATATCCGGATTAAAACAGTTTTTCAACATCCAGTAAAAAGAGCTGAAGGATAATAATTCTTTCCTTCGAGACTGAAGAGAACCTGTGAGTGAGAGAACTGTTCTAATCTAGGTTTTATAAGTCTATACCTGTATCAGCGTATCAGCAGAGCTCAGCTTATGTTCTGCTTTGACTCCACAGTGAAACTGATCCACTGCTGGTTAGATCTGCTGATTTCTTAGAATTCTGGTCATAATATCAATGATTGGATCTAATCTGCGTTTCTTCTTCTTCTCCTCTTGCAAAGTAGCTTCAGCCACAAACACCAGAAACATCCAATCAGCCATAATTACCATCCAGCACATAACATCTCCTGAACTTCTCTTCTATATTTTCAGTATTTATGGTTGGAACTGCTGAAGCTTCTAGAACCGCAGGTTAATTAGTTAAGCACGACACATTTAGACTTTCTATGACTATTAAACATTTGCAGTTTAGTTTAACAAGTAGTGATGTTATGAGGCGCGCCAAAGTGCGTGTCGAGGCGTGATTTATTTAGGGGCGGGGCCAAAAATGATGATGTTCAAAGCCAGGTGACACCAGGTGAGCGCTTCAGGAAGTGGGATCAAGAACTTCAGCAGTCATTTAAACAGCCTCAGTATTCGGTCAAAATGATGGAGTTTGTAGGAGAGCTGCTGTCAGTCGGATAGAGTTTGGATAGATTCTAAGAATAGATTGGTTGTTTTTCCAACCAATATAGATGGTTTAAACTATTTTGGTTATATAAAACAATATAACGATTAAAATCTGAGCACAGCTGCAACATTAGTATTAAGTAGCATTGCTAGTCAGCTGGGAGACACGGACTTCCACTCAAGTTGTTGCTTCCAGACTCACCTTAGACTTTTCAAAGTTGCAATAATACTTAGCAAGCATTTTGGCTAATGTGACTAATTTGTATTGGTTTACGCTGGTATAAAAATAGATTGGGTAAAAGCATAGCCAAATTAGATTGGTTGGTTTAACCAAAAGATTGGTTGAACACATAACTTCAAACCCGATTAAAACCAAAAACTGTGGAAAAACTATAATGTTTGAATAAAAATGACTAACACCTTTCATTTAGCTCATCTTTGCCCAAATTTGCACAAACATTTTCACTGTCTGCTTAAGTTTATTTCATTAAAATGGCAGAAAAACAGTGGGCCTTAACTGATTGTTCTCTTCTAAGAAGTTACACTTAAACACATTTTATTATATGCACCAATCATTAATAATTTCAAAAGCACCAAAATAGGAAAAGAAGAAAAACTATTGCAAAAAAGTCCCAGATACTAATAACTGTAGTTCTGCACTCCACCAGTAGGTGGCGAGGTTCAATTAGGCTTCATCTCCTCATCACTATTAACAAGGTAATAAGGCTGTAAAGTCATTAAGAAAATAAAAGTTGGTTCTTAAAATGTAAAAGCAGGAGATTTTCTATAAGAAGCAGCCATTTTTTCAGTAGATTCAAATAGTAATCTGGTGTTTATGAACATTAAGTATGTAACAAGATTTTAACTTATTTATCACAATTGATTAACGTTTTCTAATGTGGCAGAATCAAAGCTTAGGGCGTTTAAAAGGCAAATGGTTTCTTTACCTGAGGTGCTCATACTTCCAGACGCCTTCATCCTGACCCTCAGGAGGCTCCAGGATTTTATCAATGTTGGAGCAATCTGACCTGATGTTCTGCTGGATGTACTGGGACAAAAAAGGGGACAATATGTTATTTACAACAAAAAAATTCAATACAGGTCATCTATTTTTCTTTAATGGCTATTCAGCTTCATCTAGCTGCAGTTGAACCTGGATTATGACACAAGCATCCAGTCATTCCAGTTTTAACCCTGATCTGAAAAACAATGGGTTTCCGCTTGATTGGTTTCACCCCAACAACGGCAGCACAGTATGACCCAAACGTTTAAAGGTGCAGGATTATTAGTCTAGAGTGGGCCTGAAACTAAGGATTATTTCGCAAATCCATTAATCTGTCAATTAGTTGTTCGATTATAATCGGATAGCAAAAGATTCTTTAAAGAAGACGTTTATGAAATTAAACTAAGCGAAACTAGAAAATTTTCCAATGGTTGAGTTCTGAGTAGAGAATCTTGACAAACATTTGTTCTTCATCTCAAAGGCAAAATTGTATTGTATTGTTTTTTGGTATAATAATAATAATAATAATAATAATAATAATAATCTCTTGGACACGCCCCCTCCTTACCTGCATAATTAGGCAGAAATGCAGACAGAAATGTAAAAAGGGCAGGAATAAATAGTGGCGAAGAAATAACTAGGGTAAAATAATACAAAGGAAGAATAAAACAGACAAAAATATTATAACATGCACATAAAAAATACTTAAAAATATAGGTAATTAAAAAATAAAGTTGAAGATTATAAAGGACAAAAAAAGTAAGGTAAATATTACAAAGGCAAATAAATAAAGAAGCTAATTAAAAGAGTTATTTACATTTATGTCTCACTGTATAATTTAATTTCTTCCACCATTTATTTTTTTATTGTATTTTGGTGGCAATTATTTGTATGCTTATTTATTTATTGAGCATTTATTTATGTTTTTATTTTTAAATATGGCAGAGTTGGTCTTCCATACAAATGGGTTGCTCTGTCGGCTAAAGGATTATTTTACAGTCTCTATGCTCCAGTTAACCACTAATTGATTATTAAATTAGTTGACGATTATTTCAATAATCACTAACCACGATTAGTCAGACTGAATGTTTCTGCCCTACTTGACTCTTTCCTTTATTCCAGTTAAATAAAACACTGAGCAAGACCTTTAACCCCACGCGGCTCCCCGGGCGCCCCACGATGGCCGCCCACTGCTCCCCGAGGGGATGGGTTAAATGCAGAGGTTCATTTTTCCAATGTGGGATCAATAAAGTTCAATTTTTAATTTTTTTTTCCCAAGGAACCATCATTTGTAGATTGCAAGCTACCTGACGCGTGGCTAACCAGCTACCAGACGCGTGGCTAACCAGCTACCAGACGCGTGGCTAACCAGCTACC